ATAACCACAGTGGGGGATTCAAGCATGGAAATTAAAAGACGGTGGCACCTTGGGAGGTAAGCTAGGGCAAGCCTAGATAGCTTATTAAAAAGCAGAGACGTCACCTTGCCAACAAAGATCCACATAGTCAAAGCTATGGTTTCTCCAGTAGCAATGTTTGGCTGTGAGAGCTGGACCATAAAGAAGGCTGAGCGCTGAAGAATTGATGCCTTTGAACTGTGGTGCTGGAGAAGACTCTTGAGAGTCCCCTGGACTGCTAGGAGGTCAAACCAGTCAATCTTAAAGGAAATCAACCCTGATTGCTCATTGGAAGGATCGATACTGAAGCTCAAGCTCAGATATTTTGGCCACCGAATGCGAAGAAAGGACTCTTTGGAAAAGACCTTGATGCTGGGAAAGATGGAAGGCAAAAGGAGAAGGGGACGGCAGAGGACAAGATGATTAGATAGCGTCAATGAAGCAATGAGCATGAAACTGAGCGAACTCCAGGAGGCAGTGAAGGACAGGAAGGCCTGGGATGATATGGTTCATGGGGTCATGAACAGTCGGACACGAGTTAACGACTGAACAACAAAAGCCCAGAGTCACCTTATTTAATGCATAAATAAATAATTAAACAGTGAGGAAAATGCTTTCCTTGCACAGCATCTGTAAGATATCAGAGAAATACTGTCTGAAGGGAGGGAAAGATTGCTCAAATGACAGGTAACTGTAAATGTCTCCATCGTAACCCCTACCTGCCCTCATTTGTACTCATATTCACACATCAAAGAACCCCCAAGAGACTTCCCCAGAACAGAAGAAGGAAACCCTGTTTAGGCTCCTAAGGTAAAGAGAGGTCACGGAAGTTGCCTTCTGATTGCATTGCAACTAAACGAAAGGGAGATCCCACTGTCCTCTTGGACATATATTTACCTCCTAGCCCATTGTAGAATTCCTGGTGGTCTCCCATGTAGCACTGCTGGGCTTTCCAAGAGTAGCCAAGGTTGTCCAGGTGTGCCCTCTTATCTGAGTCCAGGCTCTGAGAAAAGCATAATTAAAGGGAGTCTCTTAGGCCTGGCAAGATGGTATGAAGGAAAGTCATGTGTCTGGTTAAAAATAAAGGATATTTTCAGGAGGTTCACACAGAAAAATAGCAAAGCGAGAAAGGATTTGCACTAATATCTTTTAAACACCAAGAGTCTTTTTGGAGTTGGGCAGCTTTAAGAAATCCAGTAAATAATAATAATAAAAAAAAACAGCAGACAGAAGCTCAGATGTAGGATTGATCAGCCTTGGTGATAGTGAGGAAGAGTTTGTCCGTGTTGAAGAACCAAAGATCACGATGCTTAAGGAAAAGGAGAAAACGTCCAGGTGGGAAGGGTCTATCTTGGACCAGAAAGACTGTGTGCACAATGACTATGCTGTAAAGTCTCCATTGAATATTTTAAAATTGAGTCAGGTTTTTTCCCTTTCTTCCTCTTTTACCCTGGGTGGGAGGTGTGAAATTCCTGGGTGTTAAAGATTTTATCTACCAAGAAGAGGGTTTTTTTTAAATGAATTCCCTTCTTTTGTTATTCTATAAGCAGGATGGTGATGAATGGTTTGTTTTGCTCCTGGCTGTCTTCCCCTCGGAGATGGAGCGCCGGGTTCGGGAAGGAGATCCGGCCAATTGCCTGCAGTCTGTGGCTTTGGCCGAGGATTTTCCAGGCCAGCGCTCAAAAGACGGGAGATGGGAAGAGCCAGTGAGGGTCAGACATCTTGGGGGTTCAGCGGAGTGCATGTCTGAGTTGAGGCCACGCTGCAGACGTCGTGCATTCCCAGAGTGCAGTGACACGGGGGGCTGGTTTCTCAAAGAGGAGTCATTGATTGTTTAAGCCTGCACAAGGATTGAGGCACCTGCCGGACCCTCTCCACCTCCGCCTAACTCCCTCCGCCCCTACCCATGAATCCTGGCCAATTGGCCAG